ACATAGCCGCTCTTTAGTGTAGATGCATGCTGATTTTATCAGACGATGCCGTGATTATAAATGAGAGACTCCTGGTTAACATGTATTAAAAGGGGTCGTGTTTAGTCACTATTCAGTGTGGTATTTTTTGACAATATGCACTCATCATGACAGTAAAATAGGGCATTCTGAGTCAATATACTGCAGTATTTCCTCTCAATCAGTAGAAGATATGGTTAACACCCACTCATGCATGAAAAAACGATACCGTCTTGTACCGTGAAACCGGTATAACTTTAAAACTCCTGGTTAACATGTATTAAAAGGGGTCGTGTTTAGTCACTATTCAGTGTGGTGTTTTTTGACAATATGCACTCATCATGACAGTAAAATAGGGCATTCTAAGTCAATATACTGCAGTATTTCCTCTCAATCAGTAGAAGATATGGTTAACACCGGCTCATGCATGAAAAAATGATACCGTCATGTACCGTGAAACCGGTATAACTTTAAAAAATACCGTGATATACATTTTTGGTCATACCACCCAGCACTACTACAAATATACCCCAGCGACTTAAGACTGCTTTTGTGCTGCAGAGTCACAAATCTCATGTAAAACACTGCAAGATCTGTTGTCTTTATCATGTGACGTCTCACCGTGTTTGAATCAGACCGACGGTGCTTTTTAGAGGATGTAAGTGTCCCACCAGAGGAACAACAGCTATTATATCACTGTAACAGATAGATATCACAGGGACATATTTCAGATTGGATATATAGTACACTCATGCATGCAGCACACACACTCAAACGAAGAGATACTATGTAGCAAATCTCACCTGCTTGATGCTTATATCGTCACAAATGTAACACTATTATCATTCAGCACTAATCTGATCAATGCAATTATAAGGCATGGAGATAATTAGATATTATAAATATTAACATCCGTGTTAAAAATGTTTTTTTTTTTTGTTGGACTAAGCACTTTGATCAGATGATCAGATCATCACTAATGATCCGCACTGAGGGAATATAATACAGCCCTGAAAACCACATTCTCTGACACACCTATGAATTAGCATTAGTTACCATAGTATTGGTGTAAGTATGATGTAAACAGAGCACGGTGATCATAAAGTACCACAGCTGTACCGTCTGATAGCAGAGTAATGTTGTGATTGGGTGCTAATATTAAACCAGAGACACAAACACAGACCGCAATGAGTCCAGCAGACGAGCTCAAACACCGATGTTTGCTGATGTGAGGCGGGTGATCGATCAAATTAAGCCTGGAGCTCATCAGTGAGTGTGTGTGTGCGAGTGTATTAGTGTGCGTGTTAGTGAGTGAGTGTGTGCGTGTAATACAGCCCTGAAAACCACATTCTCTGACACACCTATGAATTAGCATTAGTTACCATAGTATTGGTGTAAGTATGATGTAAACAGAGCACGGTGATCATAAAGTACCACAGCTGTACCGTCTGATAGCAGAGTAATGTTGTGATTGGGTGCTAATATTAAACCAGAGACACAAACACAGACCGCAATGAGTCCAGCAGACGAGCTCAAACACCGATGTTTGCTGATGTGAGGCGGGTGATCGATCAAATTAAGCCTGGAGCTCATCAGTGAGTGTGTGTGTGAGAGTGTATTAGTGTGTGTGTTAGTGAGTGTGTGTGTGTGCGTGTGTGTGTGTGTGTGTGTGAGTGTCGGTGTGTGTGTGCGTGTGTGTGTGTGTGAGAGTGTGAGAGAGTGTGTATGAGTGTGTGTGAGTGTGAGTGTGTGTGTGAGCGTGCGTGAGTGTGTGTGAGCGTGCATGTGTGTGTGAGTGTGTGAGAGAGTGTATTAGTGTGTGTGTTAGTGAGTGTGTGTGTGTGTGTGTGTGTGTGTGTGTGAGAGAGTGTGTATGAGAGTGTGTGTATGAGAGAGTGTGTATTAGAGTGAGTGAGAGTGAGAGTGTGAGAGTGAGTGTGTGTGTGTGTGTGTGTGTGAGTGAGTGTGAGTGTGTGAGAGAGAGTGAGTGTGTGTGTGTGTGTGTATGTGTGTGAGTGTGTGTGTGTCTATGAGTGTGTGTGTGTATGTGTATGAGTGTGTGTGTGTGTGTGTGTATGAGTGTGTGAGTATGTGTATGTGTGTATGAGTGTGTGTGTGTATGAGTGTGTGTGAGTATGTGTATGTGAGTATGTGTGTGTGTGTATGAGTGTGTGTGTGAGTGTGTGTGAGTGCGTGTGTGTGTGTGTGTGTGTGAGTGTGTGTGTGTGTGTGTGTGTGTGTATATGAGTGTGTGTGTGTGTATATGAGTGTGTGTGTGTGTATATGAGTGTGTGTGTGTGTATATGAGTGTGTGTGTGTGTATATGAGTGTGTGTGTGTGTATATGAGTGTGTGTGTGTGTATATGAGTGTGTGTGTGTGTATATGAGTGTGTGTGTGTGTATATGAGTGTGTGTGTGTGTATATGAGTGTGTGTGTGTGTATATGAGTGTGTGTGTGTGTATATGAGTGTGTGTGTGTGTATATGAGTGTGTGTGTGTGTATATGAGTGTGTGTGTGTGTATATGAGTGTGTGTGTGTGTATATGAGTGTGTGTGTGTGTATATGAGTGTGTGTGTGTGTATATGAGTGTGTGTGTGTGTATATGAGTGTGTGTGTGTGTATATGAGTGTGTGTGTGTGTATATGAGTGTGTGTGTGTGTATATGAGTGTGTGTGTGTGTATATGAGTGTGTGTGTGTGTATATGAGTGTGTGTGTGTGTATATGAGTGTGTGTGTGTGTATATGAGTGTGTGTGTGTGTATATGAGTGTGTGTGTGTGTATATGAGTGTGTGTGTGTGTATATGAGTGTGTGTGTGTGTATATGAGTGTGTGTGTGTGTATATGAGTGTGTGTGTGAGAGTGTGTGTGTGTGTGTATGAGTGTGTGAGTATGTGTATGTGTGTGTGAGTGTGTGTGTGTGTGAGTGTGTGTGAGTATGTGTATGTGAGTATGTGTGTGTGTGTATGAGTGTGTGTGTGAGTGTGTGTGAGTGCGTGTGTGTGTGTGTGTGTGTGAGTGTGTGTGTATATATGAGTGTGTGTATGAGTGTGTGTGAGGGAGAGAGAGAGAGAGAGAGAGAGTGTGTGTGTGTGTGTGTGTGTGAGGGAGAGGGAGAGAGAGAGAGAGTGTGTGTGTATGAGTGTGTGTGAGGGAGAGGGAGAGAGAGAGAGAGAGTGTGTGTGTGTGTGTGTGCGCTGAACGCGCTGTTTGTGTCGACGCTGAGCGTGTTCGGTTAGCGGCGGCTAACGCTCATCTCTGACAGAAAATAAGCAACAAACTCACCGAGCTGAGGCTGCGATCACCGGCACGGCTTGACGAGACACGGACACTCGCGCTTCTGCTCCTCTTCTGCTCCTCAGTCGCTTATTTTCTCGCATCTGTTCCTCACAGCCGCTGCTGCTTCAAGGCTGCCGCCATCTTGTTTACCTCCCTCCCCTCGCGCCACCGCGCATGCGCAGAGCCGAGAATTATTGCGATTAAACTTATCACATAAACACAACGCTTCGATTAAACTGATCCTATTAAACTCATAATCGTAGCAACAATCGCATATTTTTTTTCCTGACAAATACATATTTTAAATATATGCTAAATATACAGTATGTCGTAAACAGTGCAGCTCAATGAAATATAGATTTTTGAAATCGAAAATATATTGAGTTTCAACCTTCATATACTAAAATATATTTCAAAATGTGTTTTAGGAGCAAGAAAATACATTTGCAATCTCACAGTTGGGTCTATATATTTATTAAAATCTAATATATATATATATATATATATATAAGTAGCTTACGAAAAATACCCACAAACAATATTGGTAGAAAATATATTTACGTAAATATAATTTGAAACACTTTTAGCAAATTTATTTTTTGGCCATTTTTGTATATTTCGAAATCTATTTAAAATGAAAACATATTATTATTATTATTAATATTATGAATAATGTTTTTGCCATATGAGTAATGACACTGTTGTCCTCTACTGCTTTACGGTTTATTTAAAATAAATTATGCAGCATTATTTTAAATGTTATTAATGTGAAGCTGCTTTGGAACAATCTGACAAATTTCCCAAAAATGGAACAATAAATGATACTCAGTTCCAAGATGTTCATCTGTATTTCCAGACAGGCTCCGGTGAGATGAAGGCTCTGGAGGCCTGTGTTGGCTCGGCCGCTGATGTGGGTTATATTTAACTCGTGTTAACCCTGTGGAATGTCCAGCTCAAGCTCTGATTACAAACTCACACTCATTACAGTCCGTCTTAACGAGCACAAACACAAATCTTCACGAGCGCAGACGAGCTATGCTTGAATTTCTTTGTGATTCTCTTTAGTGATGCAGCAGTCAGTGCTGAATAATGTGTGTGTGAGAGCAAGAAGGACCCTCAACTAATGAAGCTCTGGAGAATTTGGACCAAATGCAGAATCAGGAGACCAATAAAAGACAAACTAATGAACATAACAAGAAATCAATTGTTTGCATTTCTCATTTGTAAGTGGCTTTGAATAGCACTTTCTGCTTAATGAATTAAGGAGCCTGAACAGCTTCAGCATGTCTCCCTCTGGTGCTGCTGCACTATAGTCCAGACACAAATGAAGCTGTATTAATATTATAATAACTCACACAGAGCTCTCCACGTGAAATGAGCTGGTGAAATAATTATTGACTGAATGCACAAACTACTCTATGAGAATCATTAACTTAACTGTGCTTACAGATACAAATCTTCAAGTTTGCGTGTTTTATGTTTTGTATCATATCTGGCTTTTATGGCTCATATGAAGCTCAATTTTATTCAGAGACTCAAACTCAGCTAAAATATGAATTTGCTGCAGATGCTGATATTTATATGATGTAATTCTGCTGCTTGTGATGTAAATCAGTGAGATCTTTCTAACAGTGCAGCAGATACTGACATAAACTGATCTAAATATCAGTCGTGGCTCTATATCTCCAGTAATAATAAGATGAGGCTGAAGTGCTCCAAACATATAAAGCAGTGATTGAGAGCTGAAGAAATAAAGGCTCCTCAGAAGATGTGAGATGTTCTGGAGGCTTGTGAAGATCATTCCTCCGCTGAGGAACAGTGAAAGTAAAGCTTCTGGAAACAAACGCTCCTCAAAAGATCCTGAGGATCAGATTTGAGACTCTAAAACATGATTGATGGAGAATCAAGTAAAGCTGAGCTGCTTCAGTGCAGTAAGTGTTCATCTGGAGATATTATTCTGACGCTTACTTGATCAAAACCAGTCCAGATCTGACACGAGAAGCTCCAGCTGAAGCTGGACGCTTGTACAGTTACACTAAAAGAGCTTTGACTGGATAAAAACCTCACACAACGATCAATCAGAGACAGAAGGAGTGGAGGAGATCGAGTGAGAAACAAGTTTAACAGTAAAGATTGATAATTTAGAGCCTTATAAATTCATGAATTAAATATGATACAGTAATGAACTCAGTCAGTCAGTTGATGTCAAACATCAGACTTGGAAAGAAAAACTGAAACGCAGAAAAACACTCTTCTCACACTGATCCAGAAGCAGACGCAACACTTTGAATCTCCACAGATCCACATGCAGTCAAAAGTGTTTTTTAATAAGAAGATCCTAAAACACAGTGATGAACCGTTATCTGGAAGAATCTAGCACAAACAATCTGAAGCAGCAGTCTTCACGTCTAACACTAGATCTTCTGTGTGGAATCAGCAGCAGAAGAACATCTACTCACGCGCTGACGTCTGCGTGTCGTCTCAGTCATGCTCATCGGTTCTGCATGTCAAAGCCAAAGTCAAAGTTTATTTATAAAGCACTTTTTTAAAAAACAGCAAGTGTTGTACACACAAAAAGAGCTCAGCAGCTCAGCAGGCGAGCTGCAGCATTCTGGACCATCTGCAGTCTGGAAAGAGAGGCCTGACTAATACATGTATAGAGGCTATTACAGTAATCCAGACCAGCTGAAATAAAAATATGTACAATTCTTTGAAAGTCTTTTGAGGACAGGAAAGATTTCACCTTGGTGAGTTGTCTCAATTGGAAAAAAAAAACTAGATTTAACTACCGAGTTAATCTGTTTATCCAGTTTAAAATCACAATCCATGATAACACCTACATTACATAGGGCTTCACAAGTGGTTTCAAATCCAAATCTGATGACTTACAAGTACCTCCCAGCGCAAACAGCATAACTTCTGTTTTATTTTCATTCAAATTAATTAAATTTAGTGCCATCCAGTCCTTAATTTCCTCAATATACTGCAGTAGGAGTGCTAAAGAACAAGTATCTTTTCGTTTCGTCTGCATAACAATGAAACGAAATACCAAATTTCCTAAAAATATGTCCTAAGGGGAGCATATACAGGGAGAAGAGAATAGGCCCCAAAATGGAGCCCTGGGGGACCTCACACGAGTAACAAGCATTCGAGCAGACAAGCATATACAGGGAGAACAGAATAGGCCCCAAAATGGAGCCCTGGGGGACCCCACACGAGAAAGAAGCAGTCGAGGAGACAAGCATATACAGGGAGATCAGAATAGGCCCCAAAATGGAGCCCTGGGGGACCCCACACGAGAAAGAAGCAGTCGAGGAGACAAGCATATACAGGGAGATCAGAATAGCCCCAAAATTTCCTCCGCTGAGGAACAGTGAAAGTAAAGCTTCTGGAAACAAACGCTCCTCAAAAGATCCTGAGGATCAGATTTGAGACTCTAAAACATGATTGATGGAGAATCAAGTAAAGCTGAGCTGCTTCAGTGCAGTAAGTGTTCATCTGGAGATATTATTCTGACGCTTACTTGATCAAAACCAGTCCAGATCTGACACGAGAAGCTCCAGCTGAAGCTGGACGCTTGTACAGTTACACTAAAAGAGCTTTGACTGGATAAAAACCTCACACAACGATCAATCAGAGACAGAAGGAGTGGAGGAGATCGAGTGAGAAACAGGTTTAACAGTAAAGATTGATAATTTAGAGCCTTATAAATTCATGAATTAAATATGATACAGTAATGAACTCAGTCAGTCAGTTGATGTCAAACATCAGACTTGGAAAGAAAAACTGAAACGCAGAAAAACACTCTTCCCACACTGATCCAGAAGCAGACGCAACACTTTGAATCTCCACAGATCCACATGCAGTCAAAAGTGTTTTTTAATAAGAAGATCCTAAAACACAGTGATGAACCGTTATCTGGAAGAATCTAGCACAAACAATCTGAAGCAGCAGTCTTCACGTCTAACACTAGATCTTCTGTGTGGAATCAGCAGCAGAAGAACATCTACTCACGCGCTGACGTCTGCGTGTCGTCTCAGTCATGCTCATCGGTTCTGCATGTCAAAGCCAAAGTCAAAGTTTATTTATAAAGCACTTTTTTAAAAAACAGCAAGTGTTGTACACACAAAAAGAGCTCAGCAGGCGAGCTGGCGAGCTGCAGCATTCTGGACCATCTGCAGTCTGGAAAGAGAGGCCTGACTAATACATGTATAGAGGCTAATCCAGACCTCCAGACCAGCTGAAATAAAAATATGTACAATTCTTTGAAAGTCTTTTGAGGACAGGAAAGATTTCACCTTGGTGAGTTGTCTCAATTGGAAAAAAAAAACTAGATTTAACTACCGAGTTAATCTGTTTATCCAGTTTAAAATCACAATCCATGATAACACCTACATTACATAGGGCTTCACAAGTGGTTTCAAATCCAAATCTGATGACTTACAAGTACCTCCCAGCGCAAACAGCATAACTTCTGTTTTATTTTCATTCAAATTAATTAAATTTAGTGCCATCCAGTCCTTAATTTCCTCAATATACTGCAGTAGGAGTGCTAAAGAACAAGTATCTTTTCGTTTCGTCTGCATAACAATGAAACGAAATACCAAATTTCCTAAAAATATGTCCTAAGGGGAGCATATACAGGGAGAAGAGAATAGGCCCCAAAATGGAGCCCTGGGGGACCTCACACGAGTAACAAGCATTCGAGCAGACAAGCATATACAGGGAGAACAGAATAGGCCCCAAAATGGAGCCCTGGGGGACCCCACACGAGAAAGAAGCAGTCGAGGAGACAAGCATATACAGGGAGATCAGAATAGCCCCAAAATGGAGCCCTGGGGGACCCCACACGAGTAACAAGCATTCGAGCAGACAAGCATATACAGGGAGAACAGAATAGGCCCCAAAATGGAGCCCTGGGGGACCCCACACGAGAAAGAAGCAGTCGAGGAGACAAACTCTCCAAAACGAACTGAAAAATAACTATAAATATATTTTATATCAGACAAATAGGATCTAAACCATCCCAATGCAGTACCCTTAATACCAACACATTGTTCTAAGCGTGTAATCAAGATCTTACGGTCAACAGTATCAAATGCAGCCGTGAGGTGTGAGCCGTGCACGTGTTCTTGGATCTCCAGCGTGGCAGATGTTGGTTGTGTCCCTCATCAAACGCACGGTTCATCTCAAAAGCTCATTAACAGAAGCCTCATAACGATCAGAATCTGTATGTGTCTTTGCTGGTCCACAGAGAGAAGGGAGAATCATTAGAAGCTCTTTTGGATCGGTTTATGTCTACTTTCATGAGCAGACACTCAAACAGCCTTCTAAGACCAATATCTCTCAATGATATTTCAGTGACATTTATCAATCAGCAATAACATCTGACAGCAGTTGTATAATGATTAGTGTTTAGCAATCCCATGCTGCTGCAGTTTAAGTGTTCTCGGCTGAACAAACTCTCATTAAACTGTCTTTTATCCAAAAAAACTAAAATACGTGCTAAGAATTTTCCCATTTTGTAATGAAAACATTATATCTTAATATTCTCCAAACCTTCAAAACATGCTTTTTTTATTTGTATTATTGTTTTAAAAACATTATGTGCACGTTAATAAGGGAACGTTCCATTTGATCATTTTTCAAACATTATGAGAATGTTACTTTTGAATGTTCTATGAAACAAGTAACATTTAAAAAAACGCTAGATGAATGTTCAACTAAAATGTTTCAGATTTAAACGTTCTGTTAATGTATAAATAAGGTTTTTGTGCTAATGTTTTGAGAACATTATTTAAGACCAGAAAACGTTTGCTCGTAACTTTGAGAGAACATCCCATGATCTGCGATGGATGGATTGTGATTGTAATGATTCCTGTTTTCATCTCGAGAAACATTTCAGGAGCAGGATTGAGAAACTCTAAATTTTCATGCAGAATCTTGTCCACATGATGGTGAGTAAATGATGACAAACTCATCAACCCTTTAACTGTATGATTGAACCCTTTTATTATTCCCAGTTTCAAACTGCTGTAACTTCAACTTATCTAAAAATCATGTCTTTGAATCATCTGATGAACATCTTTGACTGAAGCCTTGCGTCATTTAATAAAGTTTTGGGTAACACTTTACAATACGGTTCCATTTATTAACACAAGTGAACTAAAATAATTCTAAAGGATTTATTAATCTTACTTAATGTGATTTTTAGCATTTACTAACACATTATTAAAATCAAATGTTGCATCTGTTAATATTATTTAATGGAGTTGAGCTAATATGAACTAACACACTTTATCTAACACAGTATTTTTGTCTTGTTTTTCACTACAAATATCTAAACATCCTTAAATCAAGAAGATACATTTTTAAAACAAAAAATTTATTAATTAATTAAAAATTATTTTGGCAGTGGGGTCAGAAAAAAAACTTAATTCAAAAGGAATACAAGATAATTTTTCTGACCCCACTCGGAAATATTTGTTCTTGTTTTAATCATAATTTTGCTTAATTTTAATGCATTTTTCAGAAATTAAGACTTAATATCTTAAGTCATTTTGCATATTTCTTTAAAAATTTTAACTAACATTATTAAATACTGTAACAAATGTATTGTTCATTGTTAATGCATTAACTAATGGGACCTTAATGTAATTTTTGATATAAATGCAATTGTTATGGATTCATGGTAACACTTTACTTAAAGCCTTTATATATAATGCATTAATTATGCCTTATAATGCATTGTATGATCTCATGAATAATGGTAACCACAGTTATAATGCATTATAATAATTATGTATGCATTGTTACACCTTTAGGAAGTATAATGCATTAAAACACCGCAAAAAAAACTTTAAATATTATAATGCATTTTAACTTTGGTTACAATTATTTATGAAAAGATATAACGCATTACACGTAAAGTATTGCTGAATTCACTTTATAAACCTGTGTGAGATTTTCTACATGGACATTTAGCAAGATTTCGCACGGACAGTTCAACAAGTTCATGATCTCAAAAAACTAGAAAGATATAGATATATTAGAGTAAAGGCATAAACAAAGAAATTGATATATTAGAGTTATGAGCAGGCAGACGCTTGTTGATCCATTCAGTATATTTGATCATGTACAATATGAACTCAAGAACCAGTACAAGATGATTGTCCTGAATAAATATCACAGCACACCTCCAATATTTACAGCATAAACAAACAATATTAAAAACACAATAAAAGCAAAGGAACAGATGCGTAAAGAGCGAGCGATGACCAGCTTTGGATCACGATGATGATGATGATCACGGCTGTGACGTCATTCCTCCATATCTTATATTTCATATGTTATACAATTTACACCAAAAATACACTCGCGTCTCATTTATACAGCAGGAACATTTCAGCCAATCACAGCAGACTCGCCTCATTAATATGCTAATTAGGCTCATTATAGTATTCATGAGGATGTCAGTGATCTGCTGCATCGAGCAAATCTGTAAAAATCAGCAAATCGGCACTAATCTTGTGAATTCCTTCAGTGGATGGCAGACATCATCCAGACATTTCACCGACTGAAACGAACGCAAAACACTTTCTAACGACGAAGCGTCAGGGAAAACCAACGGCAGCAGGATCAGAGGCAGGAGTCGAATCTGCTCTTCACAGTCTTGATGCATCCAGACGGATGAGGGTTCATCTTGAAGATACACAAGCCGACTGTACACACACACACCCACACACACACACACACACAAACTCGCTCGCTCACACACACACACACACACACACACACACAAACTCGCTCGCTCGCTCACACACACACACACACACACACACAAACTCGCTCGCTCGCTCACACACACACACACACACACGGATGGTCGTTCCGTTAGCCTGAGTTCAGATACTCCAGCGCCACTTCATAGCAGAACTTGTACTGATCCTGCAGAAAGACACACAGAGAACACAACAATCATCACTACAGGGATTCAGCATGTCCAGCAGAAAGCCTGTTTTGTCATTACGCCACATACAATAACATTAGGAAGTGCTAGAAGAACATTTGTATGAATTTTGATGATGAACTGATGACACTCTGAACCAGTGTTATTTTAGTAGTTTTTGTTATTATTTTTGAATTAGTTCTCTCTTTTTTTAAAATCTCTTTTCATTTTCATTTCAATAATATAATAATGTTTTTATGTGTTTTTGTCATTTTTATTATTTTTTCTTTCTTTGTTTCTTTCTTTCATTTTAAAATATGTCTGTTTAGTTTGTATAAATTTTTATTCCAGTTTGAGTGATTTTGGTACAGCAATGTATTTAGTTAAAATCGTATTAATCTTGTTGTGTGTTTTTGACATTTATATATATATATATATAGTTTTTTATTTTTATTATTTATAATTATAATTTTCATAATTTTATTTCAGTTTTGGTTATTTTGATTCATCAACTTTAATTACAATGTTATTTTGTGTGTGTTTTGATTCATTTTTCCTTCTTTTTTTATTATGTCTATATCGTTTTTAATAAATTTTTATTTTAGTTTGCACATCATGTTATTTAGTAAAAATTTTATTGGATTTGATTTGGTCTTTTTTTCTTTCTTTTTTAAATGTCTATATAATTTTTTTAAACTTTTTTAGTTTTATAAATATATATAATATATATTCTTAAAGTGTTAAACTGATTGAAAATCTTTTTTTTGTTTAAATCAAGTAACACAATCTAACACAAATGTTTTTTAATGGTTTTAGTTTTAGTTAACTGTGCACAGTGCAGGTTTTGTCCAGAACTGATCCTGATGTTAGGAGATATTCTGCTCTGTGTGGCTCAGTGAGCTGTGAGTCAGTACCAGCAGATCCACCATGTTGGGCTTGTTGTTGCGCAGGGTTTTGACGGCGTTAAACACGTCGACCGAGCGCTGATGCCGCAGCATTTCACTCACGATGCTGATGGCACAAAACATCCCGCTGCGACCGCCGCCGTTCCTGACGGGACCAAAGAAAACACACTTAAAACAAAGACACCGGCTGTTCTGACCGCTGCTCAGTCAAGTCAATAAATGCTGTTACAGTCACGTAAAACAGATTCAGAGATTCACTGATCGATCAGAAACACAACACAGATCATCTTCTACTGTCTGCTGTGGATGTGTGTGTGTGTGTGTGTGCATCTGAGTGTGTGTGTGAGTGTGTGTGTGAGTGTACCTGTTTTTCTATTCTGGTGGGGACTTAAACCTGAATACACACAGACATGGGGACTCATGGGGACTCGTGTCACGGTGGGGACCTAAATTGAGGTCCCCATGGGTAAACAAGCTTATAAATCACACAGAATGGAGTGTATTGAAAATCTGAAATAGCAGAAAGTCTCCTGTGAGGGGTAGGTTTAGGGGTAGGGTTGGTGTAGGGCAATAGAATATACGGTCTGTACAGTATATGTGTGTGTGTATGTGTGTGTGCATGTGTGTGTGTGTGTGTGTGTGTGTGTGTGTGTGTGTGTGTTGTCGCAGGTGTAGTGAGTGTGTTTGGCCACTAGATGGGAGTCTTTCTCTTCTCTTCACATCACATCAAACACACATCTAGTCAATCAAAGGCCTTCAGATGATGATCGATCTGTTTCCTGCTGTGATCAGAGAGGATTATGGGATTGTGTGAAGAGTCTGACGCTCCTGTTGTGCTGGACCGAAATTACTAATCTTCAGAAAATTTACCATGGTAACCAGAGTTTACATTCCAGAAAAGGTGAGTTTAAAAGTGTTTAAGTGTGTGTGTGTGTGTGTGTGAGTGTGTGAGTGTGTGTGTGTGTGTGTGTGTGTGTGTGAGTGAGTGTGTGTGTATGTGTATGTGTGTGTGTGAGTGTGAGTGTGAGTGTGAGTGAGAGAGATTGTGTGTGTGTGTGTGTGTGTGTGTGTATATATCTGAGTGTGTGTGTGTATCTGAGTGTGAGTGTGTGTGTGTGTGTGTGAGTGTGTGTGTGTG